TCCTTTTGAATCGCTGGGTTCCAGTACTTAACGTGAGATTACTTGCAAGTGGGTTTAAGTGATTCCTGAGTTTGACTGTGTACTTTTGTATATTGCTGATAATCATAACTGTGACTCTGTTAATTTTAAGATTTCCATGAATATTGATATATGAATATTGATATATGAATATTGATATATTTGCCGATGGATTTTTCGATTGAGTAATTTGGAGTTTTTCAGTGTTTAAAAAAATGTTTCAAAATGAGCTTCAGAGTTTATTTCCATAGGTCCATATGAGTTTTATAATTGTTTTGTAAAGTTGCACTTTATAGTTGAGATTAAGTCTACAGTTTTTGTTAAGCAGACAGTTTATTTCTTGTAGTTTGAGTTTTAGTAGGGTTACTTTCGCTTCTGTGTGCTTTCCATAAACCTCCGATCAAGCTGCAATTGTGAAGTTACAAAGTTGTATTGATATATTGTATTTTATTATACAAAGGGTTATTACTTTTCCATTAATATGAGGATTAGGCCAAGTATGTCGTCGTAGAGCGAAGGTTAACTGTACACTTATCAATTCGTTAAGTTTTATTCTCCAGAGATCGAGTCATTTTGCAGTTTGTTGCAGTGGTCCTAAACTGATTTGGCGGCTGTGATTGGGTCGTCACTATGGCTGCGGATGGCAGTGTCGTCCGCAAATGTTGATATTATTGCACAATTACTAGTTGGCATATCTGCTCTGATAATCAGTTAAACTAACGGACCCAGTACACTACCTGGGGATACTGCGGCCGTAATGGGGAACGCATCAGAGACAAAAGCATTTTGATATTTCACAAATCTTCTATTTGAGAGGTAGTTTCTGATAAGTGAGAATATATTGTGAGGTAAGAATTTTTTATTCTACAAAACTTCGTCCATAGGACCAAACTTCGTCGAAGGCTTGGGTTATGTCTAGAAAGACGCATGAGCAATAACGCTTCTTCTCAAATGTTTCCTTAATGACTCGTATTATACGGTGTATTTATTCTATTGTGTCGTGTTTTTCTCTAAATCCAAATTGGTGGTTTATATAATACATAATATATATTTTCCTAAAATTCTTTATAAAAAATTAAACTTATTAATTTTAGATTAACTAATAATTGCATAATAAAAATAAATTTAATTGTTTCCTATGCATTTTTTTTGCAACTAAGACAATTCTACATAAATGTCCTTCTAATAAATGTCAGGACTCTTCAATTTTATGTTTACATATATTTTACTATAATTACTATTTCAATACAAATATTATATTTGCATTTCATTATCTTACAGACAATTAATTCACAGCAGATACACTTACTTCGCTCTAATATCATAGACAAAAGATAGAAGTACGAACGCATATGACGAACTGTAATGGCAGCGAAAATTATTAACAATATGCTAAATGGGAAATGCCACGCTATGTCGCAAACATTACCGGAATTACCAACAGAGCAAGCAATGGAAAATAATCAGACCGAGCCAAGAGTCACAATGCCCATAAGTATTAAAATCGACTTATGTGATGGCAAATCAATTGACAATGACGAGAAGAAGTTACCAGTTACAATAATGGGAGCGAAAGTGGAACAATGTCATGGAAAGCGAGGTCAGAAAATGTTGGTCTCTAGTAAGCCAGTGGATAAGCTGTCGGTGCGTTCTATGAGTTCAGAGGATGTATCCGTATCATATAAAAACGCCTGCTGTAGTGCAGCAGCACGTAATCCAGCAATAAAAACAGGACGAAGAATTCAGTTGCTGCAGGTGAGTGTGAGGAAAACATTTTCTTTCTTGTATTTTTAGACAAATAAAATATTGGCACGCCATGCCAATGTTTACATTTGTCAAAGGTTGATGTTGCATTTCGTCATTATTTATTAATAATAGTTTTCAGACAGTATAGAAGAGTTATTGAACGTATCATTAAAGTTAATTAAATTGTAATTACTAGAAAAGTATAATATATTAGGAAACGATAATATGTGATAGACGTAGCGCTTATATTTTAACCCTACCATTTAACTTGAAGTTTTTAAAAATAAATCTGCAAGATTTTCGTAAATCAGTAAATAAGGATTTGTATGACCTATGACAAGAATCCTATAACTAATAGAGAAGAGCGTCTCGCCATAGCACCAACGTCGGCTTAGCAAGTTGTAAAAATACTCAATACTCAGGCTAGCAGAATATAAGTGAGTTAAGGCTAGTATATATACGGAAATGTTTTCCATAAGCCCTATTGTTTAAGTCTTGAAAAATAATAACAGTTTATAGTTACTTATTCCGGCAGACGACGAAAATGCCATAGCTGTAAGATTTATATATATAATATAATTGTTATAAATTTCTATGTAATACAACATATTTAAAATGAAGTAAGATAAAGGTAAATTACTACTACTAGTTAAGCACTTATATATAGCTGTAGTTCAGTCATTTTTTCCAAATGTGATTTAAAAAACAGTGTTTAAATTTGAGTAAACTTAATTTGAAATAGTTAAGTGAATTTATATAGCTGTGGTTTATGCGTTAATTTAAAAATAGCATGCTAAACGCAATTGTTGTCCAAATAATCAATGCAATATTAACAAAAGTCGAACTTAAAATAACTTAAGTTTAATGCACTCGAGTGTATAGTTTAAATTTGATAGACTGTAACACCTAATCCGTAAAAGTTTTAAGTTAGGTTAGGTTAAAGTGTAAGCCTTGTAACCTAAGTCCCCTTAGGTTCAAATAATGGTCCACTGTAGTATCACGGTCATCGTACAAGCAACGCTGAAAGGCACGACTCCTCATTAAGTGACGATGAAACAAACTGACAGTCCATATACTTCTAAGTTTTAAGTCTCTAATTTTGCAGAATGATAGCTTAATTAGGTCGGTAAAAAAGGGGCCCTTAGAAGCTATCATTTTGCAGAATGATAGCTTAATTAGGTCGGTAAAAAAGGAGCCCTTAGAAGCTATCATTTTGCAGAATGATAGCTTAATTAGGTCGGTAAAAAAGGGGTTCTTAATGCTTGAAGATCAATAATTATAGACAAACAAATTAATCAATAGATGCTCATAAAAACCACCGATAATAAGTAATTGGTCGTGTCTAAAAAAGGTAAATGGCTAACCCAAAAATTTATACACTTTTGTATCCTATTTCATTAGAATATAGAATTCTTGCCACAGACTGTAAAAATTTTAATTCGGCAAACTATAATATATGTTAAAATGTTGACTAAAATCCTACTAACCCAATAAATACAGCGGCAATTGTTCAACAATTGGTATCGCCTCATATTCGAGTTCAGTGCACGAAAAGTGGCTTCGAATTTGAACCTACAGTGGCGAATTGGACTGGATTTTAAAGCACGTTCTTCTGATTTATTTAAAAAAATAAAAATGTGGTTGTAATTTAACGTCAATTATAACGAAAGTGACTATTTTACTTAATAGAAGAGAGAGAGAGGTTTTGAAAATTAGTAAACTACAACACTGTGAACAGTCAACTGTTATTGTAGTTCACTACTTATTTTAGTTGTTTTTATCATCATGGCATTGACTCACAATTTAATAGACATACATTATATATATTAAGTCCACTCATTTTCTAGTACATAGAAAAGCATGTACATGCCAACCAAAAGTGTATTAACATTTCATTCCCGAGACTTTCTATAACCTCCCAAATTGTGAGATCTCTAAGCATTTTTAACGTATATGTAAAAATGCAGCACGTAAACATGAGATATATTTCAAATATTCCATTTCTACGCTTAAATACCTACGCCTATATGATATCATTAGTAATCTTAATAATTTATTAATCAATATTCTTTACAATATACAAAGTCTGTGAAAATTAGTATAAAACATATGAAATAAGACTTAACCCAGAAAGTTTTTACTGAATACTTAATAATGAAGTTAAGCATTAATTAAAACTTCACTATTAAGTATTCAGTAGAAACTTTCTGGGTTAAGTCTTATTTCATATGTTTTGTACTAGTTTTCTTTAGCTTAAATATTTATAATAAATTGAATCTTAATTGCAAGTATTAACATAACTCTGAACCTCAGAGGTTCTCAAAATTATTTTTTCTCGAAGTAATTGAATATTTCAACCGCAGATTTTTAATATCCTTAAACATAAACTTTACATCCTTCCTTCCGCTTATTAATAAACTCAATTTGGCCGTAAAAAGATATTAATGGAACTCATTCTACTTAATATATGAACTTAATGCCTTGTTTTGATGAGAACTTCAGGCATTTTTGCATGTCTTAGCATACATCCCGCTCAAGGATATTGAATCCGAAATTTGTGCAGCGCATTAAATTTATTTAATAAAATGTATCTATGTGGAACTGAATAAATGTTCAGAGCTTAACAATCGGCAGAACATCAGAAGTGACTATACAAATGTAAATTTTTGTACATAATTTTTATTTGCGCTTCAATGTCTGTCTGCCTTTTGCATAAGGACAAACGTTAAACTTTTACTGCGAAATAAAATATCTACAACCAACAACCAAAAAAAAAACAAAAAAATAAAGTTTAATAAAAAAGAAAAACTCATTCACAACTCATAAAAACCATAGAAAATTGGTTTCGCTTTGAGGGTTTCGCCTTCAAATTGATTTTTCTATGTCATTTCTATCAAATTCATCTAGATACTTGAATGAATAAGTAACAAATTGTATGGAATGCTCACTCAAACGTATTTCTGGCATTTCTGATATGTCTTATGTCTTATGTTTTCTGAAAATATTCTATAAATCGGCGTTATGTTATGTGGGAATATCGAACAGCGAATGAGATACTCGGCATATGCCAGTATTTAAAAGAATATTTCTTTATTTTCCAACTGCGGCGGACAATACAAAGTGAATGAACAACGGAAGCACATAAAAATCAATTTTTTATTTTTATTTTTGGCATAATTTACTATTTATACAGATAAATTCACTAAATGAAGATTAAGATTAAGACATGATATGATAAAATATGTCTTATGTCAAGTAAAATTTGTTATTGTACGAGCAATGCTTAAAGCCCTTTTAAATCGTAGGAGGCACGTGCTCGGTGTGCCAACAACGTTTAATTAGTCTCTGAATTTGTTAATTTCGTGCTACAAAAGTAATTAAGAAATATTAAACGCTCTTACAGTGGAATTTCTACTGCTGTTATTTCACAATTTCAACGTTTTATAGACAGGAAGTACACTTATTTGTGACTATCGACTAAATCCACTCGGCGTGGTGCTCTTGTTAATGGCAAAAATTGACAAATTAAGTACCTGAAGAACTTGTGTTGAGGCTAGTGTTCACTTAAAACCATCAAGAGACAACCAAAGATAACTAAACGGAGGAATTTAGCGCTTAGATTGGGAAGTAAAAATATTTTTGGACATACATTTGACTTAAAATTTGACCAGTATTTTATGTAATTATGAGTAATTAAAACTTACCAACACCGCGTTATCGAATCTCAGAATGGTTACAAGCTACTCGAGGAGGTACGCAGACCTGAGGTCAATTATTGCTTAGTCTGATGAAGTGATAAACAATAATCCAGTCAAGACGTAGAGAGTGGTTATGAAGAAACCTCGCAGTTAATAGAGATTTAAAGTGCTTAAATGCACTGACTCAACTAGCCTCAACATAATAATAAAACTCTTGATTGTTGCCGCTAAACTTTTGACAACAAGCGGAGTATATACCGGTTCCTTTATTAAGGAATAAAGTGGCATTAAGATTTGAATTGTTTAGACTCTTTATAGCGTTACACCCTTTTACCAAGTATGCGGTATGCAGGTATAAAGAACGATATTATGGAGGATAGAATTAAAAATATAACACATAATCATGTCTTAAATTCAGAAAATTAAATGATAGTGCAATGTCATACCCAGAGAACTATTTCGTTTACCACAAACGAAAAATTGGTCAACTGTTTTTCGTTTACATAAACTGAAGTTCAATCACAATAATTGAAAAAATATTTTGCGCAAATATTTGCTTCATTTCTTGATAAAGTTTCCTAACTGATTTACATTCTAAAAATGTTAAATAGTTTACGAAATGCGAATTTTATTTGTAACGATTAATCTCTAAAGGGAATAATTTTTTAAATGTAGCCTTAATGACCTAGAAAAGTTAAAGTAAAGAAATTTTTTAATGTGCTTATTGTTTGTTTTTTATTTTTGTGATTATTTTAAAGTATTTCAAGTAAATCTTAAAGTTATCTTAAAATAGTAAAAACGATATCGCATCAACAAATTTAACACAAGCAGATTAGCATGAGGAGACGATGTTCAGAATAAACTTCTACAAGCAGGTATGCATTTAGCAACCAAATCACTTGAACCATATACTTGTGTACTAAATATTTGAAGAACTGAAAATATAATTGTAACACATTAAAGAGAATAATCTTAATCAAAAAGTACACGGATTTCGTAAATAAAACACACAAATTTATATTTTATTCCAAATTTATTTTATGTCCTTTAAAATATGCTCCTTCTGAAGCGATCCACATATCCCAACGCTTAACCCAATCTTCCATACACTTCTTGTAGGCCCGTGAAGGTATGGCTTTTAGTTCCTTCAGCGAATTCTCTTTTACCGATTCAATCGACTCAAAATGCTTACCACGAAGGGGCAATTTGAGTTTCAGGAACAGGAAAAAGTCGCACGGATCCAAATCTGGCGAATATGGTGCCAGAGCGATGACAGTGGTGCCAGAGCGATGACAGTGGTGCCATGTTTGG